AACTTATATCGGTTTTTATCTTATTTTTTTGAGTTTAATTTTTTTTTAATATCTAATATTTGTTCTAGCCCTCTTCAAAATTTTCCACCACTCCTTCAATAATTATTTTATCTATGTAAGTTATTCACACATTTTAACGTCAAAAAACAATGAGTAATCTTATAGAATATTTAAACCATAGACCTTGCTAGTAGCCTTATTTAACACAAAAAAGTAAAAATCGTATGTTCCTCTTTATAAAAATATAATAAATATTCAATAAGGTTTACCATTATCTCTCCAACCTGGATAATGCGCAACGTTCAAAAGAAAACAATTTATGTGAAATAAAAACTTTATACTATCCAAGAACTTGATGTACATATTATTCAAAGACATAAGTATTCATGATCTAGTTTAATCTTTTAATACAAATTAAATTTTTCAAAATAAATCAGTGATTTAAAAAAAAATTTTGTTTTAATTAAAGATATTTAATAAAACGAATCAATTAACGTAAAAATGATAATTACGTGTAATAATATATTATAATTTTGTTTTTTTACCAAAGTAAACAGTATAAGGTTATTATTGAAATTTACCTTATTATGTCATAAAACAGTATTTGAACAATAATTTTATTGATCTTATCCAATCATTTGTTATTTGAATAAACTATGTAATAGCATTACGAACAATTTTATACTTTTGAAAATGCATATGAATTCAATTTTTTTTATTTATTTCAGATAAATTATCTTCAAAAACTTCTTTTCAAATAATGTTTTTTATTTTCAAATTATTATCCTACTCTAATTCCATTTTCATTTCTGCATCTTGATAACACGAGGTATATTTGACCATGCAGAAACAGTAATTTTCTTCAATATAATTCAATATTATTAAAACTTTCACCCTGAGATATATTTATAGTCGTGGAAAACGTTAACACTCAAGGAAATTGCTTTCTGTATATAGTAAAAGGTAATGATGATGCTTTACAAAATGCTTTGTCTATTCAACCAATATTGGTATTGCGTTTTAAAATGCAAGACAATGTTTAAATGTATGATGATTCAATACTTTTTTGTACAATCATACTTCTATAACTATATTTTAAACTGACAGAATCTGTTCAAAATCTTTACCTAAAACAACTAATTTATCACCAAAATGGATATTTGTATTACATAAATCATGACATGTTCTTTTAATCATTTCTCAAGTTTTTTTGGGATCATAGAAGCCTCGTCCTATATGATCAAATTTACTTCTCTCAATTATTTTTTTTCCGATTAAAATTCCAAGAACGAACTTTCTAAATTGGTAAAGTCTAAACGAAATGTCTTAAGACTGGTCATTCTTTTTGGAAGTAATATTCATAGTTGACCAGTCCATGCCATAGATTAAATTTATCTCCACGAGAAATAAAATGATAAATTAAGAGGGAGCGAACTGTTTATTTAAGCGCAGTGCTACCAACGTAAAATAACTAAAGACCTAAACTTTACGAAAAACCACAAAGTATCGATCACCAGATTTTATTTTTTTCACTAGACGGTGCTACACACTTTTATAGATCTCTGCAATTTTTAAGTTTCAGGATTTTCAAGTGCTAGGCTAGATCTTTGAATTTTCAAGTATAAGTAAACCTCTTGAAAAATTTAAATTGTCTTATCAATCCATTTATATTATGTACTCAGTCGTGTTATTAAATTTGAAGTTTAAAGCAAGCCACAAAAAACAGAAAATACTTGACGTTTCTTTAAAAACATTCTTCTCTTTTACATGAATGATCTTGCCACTATTTCTCCATTTAAAGTTTTGATGTACTTGTAATCATGTATCGTAATGATGCACTAGCTCATTCAACTGAACATTCTATGCATTACATTATTTACACATAGTTAGACAAGTATCATTTTTTGCAGGTAATCGGACTCATACACCTGATTTAAAACTTTCAACACTTTTTAGTAACACAAATTAAATTACTACATTTCATGTAAAATTTTAAGTCAGCACCCTTAAACAGACAGAGCCGCAGTTTTTCCAAAACATCCTGCCACACACTTTTTACATTTTTCCTTGATCTGCACAACCATAACTTTCATACCCTAGCAATTATGTGTTTAAATGATTATCACCATTACAGCAGCCAGAGACATAAAATGTACATGAATCCTTAAATTTGGTTTTGCACTGTTTCCTGGCAGGGAGAGACTGACTTTTCTATATTTTTTCTGTCTTCCTTTACATGTAATGTTGTTGTTGTTGAGTGACATACGTGTACTTGTTAAGAAATATCTTATAACAGCGATCCTATGACAAAGTCATTTTTATTTTTCTCAGCCGTTATTACCAAAACGTGTTTTAAAGAGAAACATCATAAACTATTACCGTAAGACTAATTGAGACTCCAAGCCACCTCTAACCTCGGGCCTGCCCGTAACGTTCCAGGCTACCACCTTCCGTAAGCCAATTGTCAGGACTCTGACCTGACTCCCATCCAGCCGAGGGACGATAACGCCGAGGACAAGGGACAGCCAGCATCAAGGTCACCGCTATCGAGGTCTTCGTAGAAAGAGATTGGACCAAGGATGGTAAACCCAGAGGCAAAGTAGCACCGGATAGTGTCGCCATGAAATTGGCGCGTGCGTGTGTGTGTGTGGGTGCAGCGATCGCCTTTGTCAGGATAAACTATGTGAGACGACCCTTGGCTGATGCCAAAAATATACGTGAGAGACACACTAGTTCTTTAAGTTAGGATAAATAATTTATTTATAAGTGAAATATTCTCAGTGCATTTAATTTTTTTTGTATTACTATTATTATAAAACAATGTAAAATTTAATATTTATCATATGTATTCATCTGACACGATACAATTATAAACACAAATAAAAACGTTACATAATCATTACACCTTACAGCGGTAGCAACTATAAAAAAAATGTTCTCGACAATTTTTATTCTCCTTTAAAATTTTTGTTTTAAGTAATTTGTGTAACTTTGTAGAACTTAAAACCTATATTAATTATAAGAGAAGATGCTTTAATTAGTCCATCTTATTACTACTTGAAAGAACACATATTTATACAAAACCAAGAATTATTCAAATTTTACTAGTAATTTTAAAAAAGTATTTTAAATCCAATATTAAAATATGCAATCAGTAAGACCAATCTTTTTGATCGGCAAGTATTCAATTATTGCATTATTATCAATTTTGAATGTTCTCTTTACTTTATTTTACCATGTATAGATATTCTTATGGTTCAGAAGTTTATCATAGTAAAAAAAATTAAAAATAATTGTCGTTAAAAAGATAAAATAATGCTACCACCTTGAGATTATTACAAAAAACGGTTTCAGCAGCCGTTATTGTGTATTAAAAAATTTTGACAACTAATTGAGTTACATCGTAAATATTTTATTATTGCAACATATGGATTTTAATGTAATACAAAAAAAAAAAGCAATTTATAGTTAAAAATAATAAGGCCAAGATTGGGTTTAATCTTTTTACTTCAGAGGGCAGAAAGCTCAATAATTCGTGCATGATCATTTAAGCCCATGTGTTTTAACATCATAACTGCAGATAGTAACAAAGCGGTGGGATTGGCTTTATCTTGACCAGCTATGTCCGGTGCAGTTCCATGTACCTACAAGAGTGAAATAAGTTTATTACTTTACAAATGAAACGATTCAATTTCAATCCATCTTTTCACCTTCAATAAGTCATAACAGTACTCCAGTGTATAAAAAACCTCAAAGCTCTCTACTTGCAAGATGTGAGGATTTTCAGGAGCATAACTTTAGAAAGACTTTTTCATTAGTTCTTTTATTAGCTATATACGTGGTTAACTTAAATGAAATTAGAGCTTAAGAGAATTGTGATTGTATCAAAATACTTATAAAAATTCAATTTTCATAAGCATTTATTTATAACCTACAACGGCTGTCAGTTTCATATGACAGCTATAAATAGTAACTTCAAATTTTCAATGTTTAAAGTAAAACAATCACAGGTTTAATGATTAATACAGGGAGTTCATTTCTACCAGAAGACCTTGGGTTCTAGACTCCACTCTGACACTTTTTTGTGGGTACCTCTGTGATGGTTTTTAATATTTTAATCACTGTGACAGCTCATAGACAGCTGATGCAATGCTCACTCTGCCATGGTGATAGTATAGAACAACGACGCTTGGGTCCTTACCGTTTTCTTAAAATAGTAAGAATCATAGTGCTCCGCATGAAAGTTCAGAAAGAGGGGTTGTCGGGGATCCTCATGGTAAAATTGCCCCGTTAACTATCTCCAATACAAAATAAAAATGTGACTTATTTAAATTTTATTCATACTTACAGCCATTAAATAAGGACAGACAAAAATAAGCGTTGCTAAAAAAGATACCAGTAGGTATCTAGTAGTAGTTATCGCCTAGTAAGGCAGAAAATAAAAATCTGTAAAAATTACGTACCTCTAAAACAATCAATACACTTTTGTAACTCTGTACATAATGTTTTCTTAATATAAAAACTTTAGGTTGGTATAACCTAACATTAAATAGAACAAAATAATGCTTTAACGTTTTCATATATATTTACTAGTATGACTTGGTCTCCCTGCGTGCTTCACGGGCCAACCTCCACAAATACTTGTCATTCCCTGCTTTTCTCAGTGATATGAAATGTATTTCCATAGAAAATATACTTGTGCGATGTAAAGAAGTTCTGGCTTAATAATCGTGCAATAATAATAAACTGTTTGCCTGTATCTTCCATTTTAAAAAATTTTCTAGATCCTATTTCTTCCGTAGTAGTATGAGGAGGAATATTTGATACCACTAGTTTGTAAGTATAATTATGTAATGTTAAACAATGCATTGCCCCTCGATATTATCCCTTATTTAACGATTCGCCCAGTATAAAGAGTTCTCTTCCCCTAAAAAAAATTTCTATTTGATGAGGATTGGAAAAAAAATTTTAAATAAACCTACTTTGTAGACAAGTTTTTTTCATTTTTTAACTTATAAAAGATAATACTATGGTAATTTTATCATACTCTGCTTTGAATACAAATAACCACGAAAATTCCTTTAAAACATATTTGCATCTCACAGATCGATAAGTATTTAGAAAATCACTAGACTATTTCTGTAATTTATCTCATATTAATAAGCCGCTCATATCGCGATACTCACACGGGTCACATAACTAAGAGTAATTTGAATTCTTCTATGTGTTGGTATCATGTAATAAAAAAACATATAAATAATTAACTTATTTGCTAATTATCACGTAAAGAAGAAAAGTAAACAGCACCCAGACCAAATTTCAACTAGGGAGTACAAAATAATATGAGAATGAATCTCGACATGTTATCACTTGCTTACCGAAGCACAATAATTTAAAACGATCAATTCAAAAGGCACGTTGTCGTACCTTGCCATTGAAATTAAAAGCATTGAGAGGTATCGACAATATCATAATAATTTTGAAATTAAGTTCATTAGAGATGTGTGTCTCATTTATAATTTAATACAAGAAAACGTAAACAGTAAAGTACTTGTATTTTTGACAAAACATAACTTTTAACTCCTAAAGAATGTATCATTTATTTTTAAAAAGGGACTTTCAAGGTTTTTGGAATTAGTAAAAGAAACACAGTGTTCACTGCTTTGCCTTTTGATTTTTCACGGTTTACTTCTAAAGAAACAAACTTAATATTCTTATCAAATTTAAGGCTGCATATCTCGAAGTTTAACATACGGTAGCTCAAGTTCATTGGGATCAGGTCTCAGTATTTACTCACATTGCTCGAATCTCTGAGAATTTAATTTCTGATATATGTATTCCAACTGTGGTTCGATGGTTCAGAAGCCATGTAAATGACCTTATTTTACATGATTGATATCACAGGTTAATCTGACGTGGTTTTCTACTATTCTAATGACGATAGCTTATATATGCATAGTAATACGGCATTGCAAAGCATATTTTGCACAGTTATCAAAAGTGGCTGTAACATTTCCCTACATGATATATTTTCGAAAAAAAATTATTTAACTTTACAACTCAACATGGACTCTTATGGAAATCACTTATTAAATTTCATTACCTATTACTCTTTTCAAAATTTTTCGTTAGACCTTCTTTAAATTCGTCTATTTTGTTTTGATAAGCTTATTTTCGACTAGGAGGGATGTTTAAATTGCTTTAAAAAAGTTATGACTTATTAAGATGGTCGTTTGAATACAATTTAATTACTGACCCCATAAGAGAATACGATAAATCGTAAGATTAAATGAGATTCTGTTTAAAAAATACGTCAGGCAAGAAATATCGACAAATTGTACACACACATAAAATATTGTTACAAAGAACGTAATTTTGTTTCAGCACTATCTTACTTTTTCTATCTTTACCAGAACCTCCTAAATATATTTTGTGTACTTTTTATCACCCGTAAAATTATGAAATAAAAAATTAAAATTGTATAACTATGGGCTTACCAGTAAGACTAAAACAATCAAGCTTTCAAAACAAAAATTATATGTATACACATGTACATATACCATAAAGTAAATTAAGTGGAATTATGCAAAACATAATTCTAGTTGTTGTAATTTCGGGTGAAAAAATTTTTTTAAAGTACTTTCATAACAAACTTGTAGTTCTAGCTCATTTCTTAGATTGTAGCTAAAATTTGTTTCAGAAATAGAAATCATTATGTTGGTATAAAATACTACAAATCCTTATTTGCTGATCGCCACTTATGTTGACACCAGCTCCATTACAACATTGCTATTATGAATCAACGAAAAAATCAAGTATCGCAGAATTCAAAATATTAAAATATATTAAACTTAAAAAAAAGTTTATGACT